AGAAAATCAGCTACAACCATCAATCACTCACTGAGAAAATTTATAAATCTAATCCTAACACACAAAATACAACATCCATTAATTTTGTTATTTCATTTCCTTTTTCATTTATTATTTATTCATACTCATTTTCTTTTCAATTATCATATTTCTTTTCACCCTGTTTCTCATTTTTCTTTATATTTATTACCACCCATGTACCTATCTTTATACCTTTCTAATTATATTCACCATTATATGTATTCCACCATTAATCTCCTACTTCCGTCCATTTTCCAATCTTAGTTTCATCATCCCCCTCAGCATATGATCCCCCACCACTAATATACTCTAATCACCTAAATTACATTTATTTATATTTTCCATCTCTCTTCTCATCAAATTTAATATTCCATTTTCCTACCTTAATTCCTTTTAAATTATATTCACCATTATAAGTAATTTAAGCTAAACTTTTAAAACTCTCCCACAACTCTATCCACTTTCCAATCTTAATCTCACCCTTTCCCTCAGCGTATGATCCACCACCACTAACATTTTATTATTCACCTATACTTATATATTATTTACATTTATTTATATTCCTTTCCATAAGGTGCACAATAACAAATATCCCATCTACCTATCTTAATACCTTTCATATTATATTAACCATTATAAATGACTTAAGCATCAGTCTAAAACCCTTCCCACAACTCTATCCAACTCCCAATCTTAATCTGACCTTCTAAGTCAGCATATGATCCTCCACCACTAACATATTTATGCGCCTATACTTATATAATCTTTACATTTATTTATATTCCTACTCGTTATATTTACAATAATTTATATCCCATCGACCTATTTTCATACCTTTTATATTATATTCACCATTATAAGTGATTTACTTCCCTCTCTCAAATTCTTCATCTAACTCTACCCATCTCCCAATCTTAATCTAATCATCTCCCTCACCATATGATCCACCACCACTAAAACATGTTATTCGGCTTTACTTATATAATACTTACATCCATTTATATTCCTACTCTGTATATTTACAATAATTAATATCCCATCTGCCAATCTTCATACCTTTAAAGTTATACTCACCATTATAAGTGACTTATTTATCATCTTTAAACCCGTCCCAACACTCTTCACTTTCCAATCTTTATCTAACCTTCATTCTCAGCATATGATCCACCACCACTAACATTTTATTATGCACCTATACTTATATATTATTTACATTTATTTATATTCCTACTTTCCATAAGGTGCACAAAAAAAAATATCCCATCTACAGACCTTCATACCTTTTATATTATATTCACCAATATAAGTGATTTATGCATACTCGAAAAAATTCTCTGATATCTCAATCCATTTTCCTTGTCTCTACCCTTGTTAATTGTATTCTCCTCCACCACTATAGAATACTTTAATCAATTTAATACATTTATTTTTCTTAGAAGATAATATTCCATATGTCCTTTCTCTTATCGTTGTCATATAATCCAATCTCATATACTTATGCTTTACTATTTTCTAATTTATTAAATACAAACCTCCAATAATTTTTTATTAGTTCTTTCCATGGGCCTGACTTTTTACCATCTTATTAATAGTCGCCTCCAACATCTTTTAGAGTCTGACCATTCCAACTAGCTGTCCATCTTCCTACCTTTAAGTTATTCTTTCCATAGCTTCCAGTCCATTTGAGATACTTAATTTACTCTAGATTGGTCAAAACTTAAGGTTAAACAGAAGTGTCTTAAATTTAATCACTAATTATTTCGATAAAAAAATTACTTCCTTAAGATTTAATCATCTTATAGATATAGTATTTCCTTATTTTTTGTGAAAACTATTGAGAATTCAGTCTAAATAAATCTATGATAACTAACATCCCAAATGAAACCTTTCATCTCTTTGATTTCCTCCTTCCATTCGAAAGCACCTTCAGGTTTAATTCTAAATAAATTTATATTTTATTAATTACTTAATTATCTAAGAGATCTCTTTCATTTATTGTTTAACTCTATTGCTAAAAGTGCTTATCTCTTAGTTTAATTAATTCTTAACTTTTTTTAATTAAATTAAATAACAATTTTTTTAAATATCCCACTAATCTAAATTTCTTCCATCTAAGATTTAAACTAATTTTTCCAAATCTGTGTATGAAGATTCTGCCAAATTTTCATTTCTTTCCAGAAGATCAATATAAGATAAATCTTCCTTTTCAATTAGATCATAAATCTATTCGATTGATTAGAGTAAATCTTCCCACATTTTATTCATTGCTATTTGAGTTTAAGAAAGAAGTTGAATAAAATTCTTCCTTTTTTTTTCTTATTTTGATATTCCATCAACTAATTTATATCCTTTAAATTTATTGGCAATTAGTTCTGAAAATTTTAAATAAATAAATTACCATTTTTTAATATTCTTTAAAAGTTTGAAAATAATAAACAGATATTTTTTGTTAGTCTTTAAGTAAGAATTTTTAAATAAATACTTTAATATTAACTTAGTGAAAATAACTATATTTTAGATATCAAAAATAAACTATTTATAATATATATCAAGTTCATCGTTACTTATTTTCTTTTTAATGATTAAAAGAATGATAAAAATTCATCAGCCAAAAAGGGATGTGTTCAAATCATTTCTAAGTTTAATTTCGATTGCTGATGAGCTGAAAATTGCTATTAAATTTAATTTGATTCTGCAGGAATAGATATAAAAATTATAATAATTGTTTTGCCTTTAAGAATTGATATTTAAAAGTATTTGATGGTCATGGAATTGCATAAGTGTACCACCAATAAGAGTAGATGAAAATATCTGATTTACTTTTAATTATTTTGCAAAAGTTAAAATTTAAGTTTTTTCCTTTTTATACGGTTATCATTCCACTCACTTTTTCTGCAATTTCAACAATTTTTTCTTAAGGAACATGAATAGCATTCCGTGTCTTTTAATTTTACCATTTTAAACGCGTTGAGTTTTAGCAGCATTATTTAAATACAACAAATCTAAAGTCTTTATCTTTTATGGTTTAATGTTTACTAACAGATTAGCAAATTGTATTATACTTTCAATTGCATTTCTAAAAACTTAGGATGCATAAAATGGCATGCTCCAACATTTTTATTTATAAATTCTCTTATCATTTAAATATATTATATCCCTCTATCTCCATTAGCTAAAATATAACCTCATTAACAAGAAATAAATAATTAATTTCTAGAAAGATTCAAAGTTCTAATTGCAGCTCCAATTACTCCTTCTGATTTCATATATTTATTCCCTCTTATAAGACACAATCAATAAAATCCATATAGCTTAGTATCATTATTTTAATCTCTTGTTCCTTAATAGGATCCAATTATAAGACCAGATAATTGTAATTTATTTCTATAATTTGTTCTAAATTGAAATGTAGAAATTTTGTTGTTTTTTGTAGAATACCCTTTTTTTCGATCAGTTTATTGCATAAAATTAAATTGAAGGATAGGATAATTTGTGAATGACTTTGTAATTTTATTGAAATCTAATGAATGAAATATGTTTCTATAAATAATGTACAGAACTGAATTCACTTATCTGAATAAAACCTTTTAGAATTCTTAAATTAAACATTCATTCGATAATAATTAAAATGTAGTGAAAAAATTATAAATTTACAGATTCAAGGCTCGTTTTCCTAAAAAGTTAGTTTACTAATTATATTCTGTAAATTTAATAGCTTTATAAAAAAAATTACTAGCCAACTCAAATTTCATTTATAACTATACTTATTATATCTTTTCTTGTCTTACGGTTTTAAATGAACCACTCCATATTTAATCGTCGCTGAATCCTTTTCAAACTCACAATCACATCATGAAATCTGTAACAACGACATTTGAGTCTACTAATTTAGGTATTGAGATCTTCAGTACTTTTAAAATTTCTTTTGTTGTTGACATCAATAAATCTGATTTCTTTAAACCAAATATTATTGCTTTTTAAGATGATAACCTTCAAAAGAACTTATAATCATTTTCATAAAATTATACCATAATTACATAACATCTAAGAGTTATAATTTAGAAATAGCACTCTATTTACTTTTAAGATATTGTTCTATGTTTCTAATATATTTGCAACCTGAAAATTCAAAATCATTAGAGTAAATTTAAGGATAAATGAAATAAAAAATGCATAAAAAAGGCTTCATCCATACAATTAAAACTGATTTATTTTAATTCATCAACTGATTTTAAATTATGATTAAAGTTTAAATAAGTATATGGAAGTAATTTTTTAATTTTTTAATTAATTCAATCGATATAAAAACCTTAATTGAA